AGTCCTGGAGCCTGGGGAAGGCTCTGAGGGGGGCTTTGTCTCGGAGGCAGAGAGGGGGCCGGGGCCGTCTGCCAGTTACCAGCTGCCTTCAGAGTCGGACATCAGTGAGGCAGAAGAACAGCTGGAGCCTGTTCACAGTGTGCCCATGTGCAGAGTGTCCAGATGAAGGGAACAGCCAAAGAACAGGGGTTGACTTGGGAGGAAGGCCACAGGTGGACAATGAATGGCCCCTCCCAGAGGGAATAAAAGAGGAGCGAAAGGGGAGTGGAGTTTGCAGGGGACCATTAGTTCACTTAATGGGTTTGTGACACTCCGAGACTCCTGGCCAAGTTCTGGAGAGATCGGCCTGGCAGCTCTCCAAGCCAGATAAGGTCTGTGACTCTAAATCCTCCCTTGAAAGACTTTGCTAGAGGTGAGTGAGCAGAATTTACAGTCAATTAATACAAGGAGGTTTTTTTGGAACAAGGAGTTTGCTTCAGGCTCTTGGGAAGCCTTGGTCAGAACAGAAATTGAGATTGACACCCCTGCTCTACCCCTCCCCCCCCTCCCAAGCAGCCACGTGGCTGACCTGGACCCGAAATCCCGCTCGTTGCTCTCGATGCCGAAGGGCATCAGGTCGTCAGCCTTAACCGGCTTCTCCTTCTTGCGTATCTTCTTCACCCGTCGCCTCGTCTTCTTGAAAGTGGTCTGCAGAGGAGGGGAAGGCAGGCTAAGAGTCCCGCAGGGCTGAGCCCCCCGCTATCCAAACGGCCCCACTGGCACCCGCCTCCCAGCCCCTTCCAATTGAAGAACCCAGGCCGCCTGGACAACCCGATCCGGGCTGGGCCCCTTTCCCCGCCACCCCAGGGCTTTTCCTCCAGCTGCCAGCCTCTGGGGTCTGCCTCCCCCAACCCTTGGGGGAAGGTCTCTCCCACCCTACCATCTCTTCTGGGGTGAAGTACTCCGAGGCCAGGTGGAGGCTGGGCAGGTCCAGCGACTGGGCCCGACTCTGCAGGCTCTCCCGGATGTTTTGCAGCTCCCGTTCCCGGGAGCCGTCCGCCATTCCCACCGCATCCAGCTTGAAGGACTTCTTCCTCTCCCCTTCTATCTCTTCGTCGTACTTGGAGAGGACGCCCTTGCGCTTGAACTGAGGGGAGAAAGCGGGGGTGACTCACAGGGGGCTTTGGGGGGGGCTATGGGGCTCAAGGCAACCAGCCGGGCTCTGCTTTTTGGGCCCAAACATCTGGCTGCAAAATGGCGGCTCGGCTGGACACCCGGGGCCTTGGCTGGGGTCACGTAGCAGATCCGGCCAGAAACCCCAATCGGCAAACCCCAAAGGCCGGGTTCACACCCAAATGAAAAAACCATGTTCCATGCAACAGTGAACGTTTGCCTGAACCATCGGATCTGGCTCTGGGTTCCCTCTGCGATGGGCAGTTAGAATGCAGTCCTGCAGGGCTAACTCATGGCTCACTGCCAGCAGTTCGATCCTGATCGGCTCAAGTTCGACTCATCCTTCTCTCCTTCTTAGATAACCACCTTAGATAAGTCTAAGTGCTAATGCTATTTTCCTTCCTTCCTTCCTTCCTTCCTTCCTTCCTTCCTTCCATCCATCCATCCACCCATCCATCCATCCATCCATCCATCCATCCATGGTGCACAATGGTTAAAATGCACTATTGCAGGCTAATTCTGCCCACTGCTAGCAGTTCAATCCTGACCGGCTCAAGGTTGACTCAGCCTTCCGTCCTTCCGAGGTGGGTAAAATGAGGACCCAGATTATTGGAGGCAAGAGGCTGACTCTATAAACCACTTAAAGAGGGCTGTAAAGCACTGTGAAGTGGGATATAAGTCTAAGTGGTATGGCTATCTTCCTTCCTTCCTTCCTTCCCTTTCCTTCCTTTCCTTCCTTCCTTCCATGGTGCACAATGGTTAAAATGCACTATTGCAGGCTAATTCTGCCCACTGCCAGCCGTTCGATCCTGACCGGCTCAAGGTTGACTCAGCCTTCCGTCCTTCCGAGGTGGGTAAAATGAGGACCCAGATTATTGGAGGCAAGAGGCTGACTCTATAAACCACTTAAAGAGGGCTGTAAAGCACTGTGAAGTGGGATATAAGTCTAAGTGGTATGGCTATTTTCCTTCCTTCCT